AGATCTCAAATCCCCTTACAAAGGAAGCCACTATCACACCACACTCAGAACATCCAGCCAGAGGTTACCTTTAAAGTTATTTTTAGGGCTTTTTTTCCCCTTCTTTTTTTTTCCCCTTGGGCACTCACAAGCCTTACTCAGAAAAAGCAAACCTCAAGATCTCTTGTAATGTTGTTTAGGAATTACAATTCTTTCCAACAGCCAGAGAATAAAGATTTGAACAGAGGAAAGGAGAAGGGTGAGGTGTCCCTGTGACAAATCCAGATTTCATGCTGGAAGCGGTCCCTAAGAAGTTAAATTCTGGTTTTTCTAAAGCTTATTTTAAAATGTAAACTGAATTCTGAGCCAGAGTAGCACAGGTCAAAATCCAGAGACCGAGCTGCTGCAGAGAAGGGCTCACTTGTCACAAAGGAACCTTCCACCCACTGAAAGTTTTTGGAGAGGCTCTAAATGTGCACATCCATTTGAGCTGACAGTGAAGCACCCAAACTTTGTTCCATTTGGTTAAAACATGGCTAATGATTCTTTCAGACTCTAAAAAGTTTCTACCTGCAGCACCAAGTTGGTCTGTAAACCTTGTGCCTTAAACCCCTTAATGCCCACTGCCCCCTTCCAACCACGCCCCAGGCAGCTTCAGCAGGAGTTCCTTCACCCCACATTTGGTCTTCCACAGCTGCCACACACTCCAAGGGCTCTTAGGGAGCATTGCAAGAGGTGGGATTTACAGTCACAGTGGTGGGACGTGGCTGACTTGCTAGGGAACAGTGCCAAAGGGGATCAGGAAAGCTCTCCTGGGGCAAATGGACATAGAAACTCCTTGAACACGCTCTGGGGGAGATTTTGGCTCCTAAAAACTCCTAAGAACACCCCCCTCTCTATCTGTACTGCAAATGAGACTGTCAGCATCATTAACCTTTTTGTTTCAGAACAAAACAGCATTAATCTCAAAATTGTGTCAACAAAACATGCCCATTTGATTACTTCCCAGCCCATCACAAAGAAGGAATTAGGATATTATTATTGCTGTTACTCATGGCTGAAGTTTATAAATGTGAAGGTTAATAAAGTCATTCCATTCCCTGGGAATGAGTCTTGATTGTGATAACTAGAGAGACAGATCAGTCTCCCAGATGGGGGAGATAATCTGCAGCAAGAACTGGTGTCCCTGTGATTAATAACATCTTACAGGCCACAAACACACCCTTTAGAGTTCACTTTCATCTGATAAATACATCCAGGGGAGCAACTTTGGAGGACAGGGAAAGTGTGGCCCAACTGTAAAACTCAAAATCGACCTAGTTCTTAAATCCACCAAGAACCACCACCACATATTATAGGATTTGGTGCACTAAGGGTGGGATTTCCTGTTGTATCAGCTGGCATTTAATATATTTGAATGCATTATCAATATACACCCCACCTTGGGGCAAATTTCTGTGCTCAGATTCCATGTGCAGGAGGCACCATCACCCTGAACTGTGGAACTTTACCCTCAGCAGCTCTTTAAAACTCCATCTCTTCTCTAAGGGAGAGTATGGGATAGCTGCAACTCAAGCAGGAAGAGAGGTTTTGGCATTCCCCTGAACTCCTGAATCCACCTGCCTGATCCAAATGACTGCAAGGACGCAGGGCCTGCTCCAAGCCCTCTGACAATACTTTACAAAATGCAATGAGCCTGCAGCACGTGGGAGGAAAAAAAAAAAAAAAGCTGTAAAAGAAAACTCAGCCTTGATTTCCATCAAGTCAGGTAACAAGAGATGGATGCAAAATCAAATTAAGATGACTTGCAGAGATGTGAGTGGACATTTATTAGTCACACTCACCTCCACAGCCTCACTGCCAGCCCAGAAAAGGCAGGACAACAAGGAATTATGACCATCTGTGCTAGTGAATCACACAAGAGGCAACACAGAAGAGGTCAAAGCTGGGCCTTCAAACATTTCAAATTGTCTACATTGCACGAGGCAGGACCTGCTGTTCCACCCCCCACGTGCAGAGGGATGACCACACAACACTGACACCCAAAAAACTCATGCTGGAAACCCTTCTGCCCAATCCAAATCCAAGTAACTCTGAGGATGAAGAACTGCCTGTGATATAACCCTGAAGATACACAAGTTTCTCTCAAACTTGTATGTGAATAGCTCAGGTAGAAACCCCTGTGGGGGTAAGGATTTACTGCAGGACAACAAGTTACCTCAGCGTAAAATAAATGCCAGATTAATTTTATACAGTTCAGAATTCCATGAGAGGAGAGATGGCTAAAGGGAGAGCACAACTCACCTGACACAGGAAACTTCTCACTGCACAAACTCAGAGCCTCCAAGGAAAGGATGGGACTTCAACTGAGATGGATTTGAACAACTACAGCTTCCTGCCTGGCAGCAAGAGAGCCTGGTTGTGATGAATTACTGTCATAAATGCAGATCATTTGCTCTCTCATATCCAGTCCCCAGCATTCATTTTTATCACAGTAAACAACTGCACCTCTGGGGTCCTCTCACAGCTCGAGGGTTTGCACAAACCTGTCCATGTGCACATTCCCCAGCAGAGTCAGCACCAGGACAAAGCCATCCTTCCTCCCAGGCACGGCCATCAACTCAGGCTCCCTCCTGGAATGCTGACACATCATCCCATGCACCCCAAGAGGGCCCTTTCTCCATTCCCTGCTCTGGTTGCAGGAGCATGAAACCAGAACTGTGGATGGCAGCTGGGCAGATGTGCCATGCAGAACGGGAATAAAGGGGCCAGTAATGAGAACTACAGCTTTTAAGGTCTTCAATTTAATCCAAAAAAAAAAAAAAGGACACACCCACAGCAGCACACTTCTGTGGCATCAGTGACAAAAGCTGATCCAAGTTTTAGGGCCTCCTGTCCATCAGCTGACAACAGCTCATATCCCAAAGGGCCAAGACACTTCCAGGCACGCTGAGAGTGAACTTTCAATTCCACACCTACACTTGCACCCTCAGGATTTAACCATTTGCAAGAGGGCAGCATTCACCTGGCACAGCAGAACATCTTTGCCACCTCCTCCAAGGAAAAAGCTCAAAGGATCAGACACTGCAGCTCAACTTGAGGGGAGTGTGTGAGCTCAGACAAAAACCACAGCTCAACTCGAGGGGAGTGTCTGGGCTCAGAAACTACAACTCAACTCCAGGTGAGTGTCTGTGCTCAGACACAAACTGCAGCTCAACTCGAGGGGAGTGTCTGTGCTCAGAAACTACAACTCAACTTGAGGGCAGTGTCTGTGCTCAGATAAAAACTACAACTCAACTCCAGGTGAGTGTCTGTGCTCAGACACAAACTACAGCTCAACTTGAGGGCAGTGTCTGTGCTCAGAAACTACAACTCAACTCCAGGTGAGTGTCTGTGCTCAGAGACAAACTGCAGCTCAACTTGAGATGAGTGTGCTCAGACACTGCAGCTCAACTTGAGGGTAGTGTCTGTGCTCAGACAAAAACCTACAGCTCAGCTTGAGGGGAGTGTCTGCTCAGAAACTACAGCTCAACTCGAGGGCAGTATCTGTGCTCAGATAAAAACTACAGCTCAACTCGAGGGCAGTGTCTGTGCTCAGACAAAAACCTACAGCTCAACTCGAGGGCAGTGTCTGTGCTCAGACAGCAGCTGCCTCTCTGATCAGGGGCAGGCACTTGGGTCACAGCCACAGGAACCTGATCAACACAGACATACAGGTTACTACAGAATTGCAAGTACAACACACAGGCCTCTCACTGCCCGAGCAGAGCAGCAAGAAAGCTGAGGAGAAAGTGGTTTGAATGTTTAAACAAAGGCACAGAGAGCAGGGAATCTCCACTGCCTGTGTATAAACCCACACCACAGTGACTTCAGCCCTGCTCACCACCAGCACGACGAGCTGGGGAAGTGAAGAGCAGGAAGTATTTTATTGCTGCGCTCACTTTTTATTCACAAACTGGGCTGTGACACGTGGTTTTCCTGCATTACTCTACTCCTCCATCGTGGTGTTGCCACATTTTGTCAGTCAGTGAAAACCCAGTGCCTAATTCTCCACAGAACTGCTGGATGTCACCACGTCCCTTTCCTGGGCCCAGGATTCAGCAGTTCCCTGTTGGCCGCTGACCTCTAGTGGTGAGTGAAGGAGGGAGAGGGGAAAGAACCACAGTTCCACCGGGAAAACACTGATCCTTTCTCCCTGCAGATCAAAGGCAAAGGGTCAGCCACCCTCCCCTTACCAGCTGCAGTGCACAAGTCCATCCAAACTCAGGGACAGAGTCCCCTGCCAAGAGCCTGCCTTGCCCCCAGGTCAGTGGGGTTGCTCTCCTCACAGAGGTTGTAACAAACAGCAGGAATTGTTTTATTTACCTCCTTCCCCCTCTCTAAGGTGAGGAACAGAGATGCCAATGCCCTCCCTGTAACACTGTCCCCTCCCCAGACACAGTCTGGCTTGGGGTGTCCCAGTGCTGCCATCTCAGCTCAGACCACTGAGGAAATCCTTGTATTTTCACAGAATCCCAGAACAACTGGGGTTGGAAGGGACTTTAAGGACCATCTCACCCCCTGCCATGGGCAGGGACACCTTCCACTAGCCCAGGTTGCTCCAAGCCCTGTCCAGCCTGGCCTTGGACACTTCCAGGGATCCAGGGGCACCCACAGCTTCTCTGGGCAACCTGTGCCAGGGCCTCATCTTGGGGAAGAGCCGTGGGAAGCCCACACTGCAGAGGCTCCCAAGGTAAGGAAGGTGTAATTACAGACAGAGGTTGGTGTAAATCTTCCCTCAGACTGAAAACAACACCTCATCACTGCAGCATCTGCTTGGGGAACAAGCCACAGTTGGTCTGTACCTACATCCAGCACACTTCCAAAGTATGTTACTTTTTGGGACAGGCTCTCCAAGAGCTTGTATTTTAGTCTCCCACAACCAAACCCTACAGATTCACATCCAGGCAATAATATTTTAAACAATCCAACTGATCAGTGGCAAAGACCTGACCATTCCATACCCACAGGAACAGCAGTACCTTTGCTTTCTTCATGTGGCCCATGATGTTGCCAAGATCTTCAACATCAATGATAGAATTGGTGCCTCCAGCTTCCTCAGCATCAGCTTCCTCCTCACTACTGGTTTCAAACAATTCCTCTGCCTGTGGGAGAGATCAGAGAAAAACAATTAAGAATTTATCTGAATGTTAAACATAACACCTTTTATCTAAGTGAGATAACTCTCCTTATTAGTGAAGACCTCTGAAAACAAGGAATGTCCTACTAATAACCTGAAGGATGTACATGGAAGCCTGAAGCCCTTTAAACCCTTTAAGTGCTCCTGGATGAATGAACAGGGAGAGAGGGATTTGCTTTCCAAGGTAAACTCTCCACAGAGCAGAAAGGTTTCTCTCTTTCTGTACAAATCCAAGGTACAGCACAACAGCACTGGTGTAACAGCAAGATTTATTCCTCTTGCCCCTGCAGCAGCCAGCACTCCCAAACTCAGCCAGAAGAGACACTTATTGTCCTACAAAATTCCCCAAGGCCACAGCAAATATTCCCAACCCACAATAAATGGCTTGAGGGAAGGTTAAAGTGCCACGGCAGCTCTGGATCTTGCACTGGAGAGAAGGAAAGAGGATTTCTTATTCAAAATCTGCAATCAACACTCCAGCTACATGAATACAGGCAGATACACACAGAGGAAATACAGGACTTGCCCAGGTAACACTCCCCAAGCTGTCTCTGGAAAAACCTTGGGATGCAGGCAGACAAGCTAAGCTGCACCAGGATGAAGAGGAAGCAGGTTAACTGCTCTCAGGGAACTAAATGCTTCACCTGGCCACGGGACAAAGCAAAGGCTCTGATGAGAACCCAGAACTCAGACTGGAGCATCTGCCACAACATAAACCTCACCCCAGTCAGGAGGAAGACTCCCTCACCACATAAATGCCACCTAGCTGGGTCCAGCACTAATTCTTTTTGGGTGGTTCATTCCACATATTATCAGCCATGGGTTCTCATCCCTCATCCCCCTCTGCTCCAGAACAAAGTATCAGGCTCCCACAGCATCCCTGTGGGCTGGAGGAGGAAGGAGAGAAGCCGAAGGGGCACTGACCCAGCACTGAGGCCTCAAGGACTGTGGCTGTACCTCAGTATTCTCGTGCTCCGATGCCCCGCGTTCGTGATCCGAGCTCTCCTTGCTCTGCTTCCCTGGAGATCTGCACTTCCCTTTCTTGCACTTCCCACTGCAGGGCTTCTTCTCCCCTCTGCAGAGGGCCTGGAGCCGAGTGAGGAATTTGGCTTTCCAGGCCTCGAAGTCGCCCTCGATGCTGCCGTGCCTGCTCTGTGCCACGTTGCAGTCGCCCTCGGCGCGGGTCATCACACGGCTGGCACCGAGCATCCACAGCCACCTGTCCATCCTCCTGCCAACCTGGGACGGCAGCAAAGGGGCAGGAATATTAAACCAAGGCCAAAGGAAAGCAGGAAACTAAGAAAAAAGCAAGGGTCAAGCCTGGAAGGAGAGCTAGCGAGCTGCACAGGACTGCAGGGCAGGGACTCGTGGAGTCCCTCGGCGCAGACACAAGGCAGCCTGAACACCCCACACTCCCTCAGATTGTTGGAAAATCCCTCTGCTGTCACACTGGTGTGGCAAGGGACGAGCTCTGGGAACAAGCTGCTCTGTGTGATGCCTGCTGCTCAAGGTGTGTAACACGTTTCACGTGGCCCCAGCTGTAAACACAGCAACCTGGAGACAGGAGATGCCATTTTTAATGAGTGGGGTGACACCAATGACCCGGCAAAGATACTGCCACAATCTGCATCAGGGAATAGAGCTAAAATCCACAACACACAAAGGAGCCAAGTTTGAGGAAAGCCCTGTAAACTGGAAGGCAGCAAGTGAGAACATTTACAGTCCTGTACCCTCACGTGCTGACAGAAAGCTTTCCAAGCTGGGAAATGAACTCAGGGTTTACCAGGTGTATTCCCACATCTCCCAGTGCATATGGGACTCCTTTCCCATTTAAAAGGGCAGCACAATTGCTTCAAAGTGGCCCTGTCCAAGTGGCCAAAAAGGCCAATGGCATTGGCTTCTACAAGCAGTGGTGTGGCAGCAGGCCCAGGGCAGTGACTGTCCCCCTGTGCTGGCACTGCTGGGGCACCTCCTCGATCCTGGGGGGCAGGTTGGGGCTCCTCCTGACAAGAGAGACACTGAGGGGTTGGAGAGTGTCCAGGGAAGGGAACGGAGCTGGGGAAGGGGCTGGAGCAGCAGGAGCAGCTGAGGGAGCTGGGGGGGCTCAGCCTGGAGAAAAGGAGGCTCAGGGGGGACCTTCTGGCTCTGCAAACCCCTGACAGGAGGGGGGAGCTGGGGGGGGTTGGGCTCTGCTCCAGGGAACAAGGGACAGGAGGAGAGGGAACGGCCTCAGGCTGTGCCAGGGGAGGGTCAGGTTGGACATCAGGAAGAATTTCTCCATGGAAAGGGTGGTCAGGCACTGGCAGGGGCTGCCTGGAGAGGTGGTGGAGTCCCCATCCCTGGAGGTGTCCAAGGAAGGACTGGAGGTGGCACTCAGTGCTCTGGGCTGGAGAACAGGGTTGGCATCAGGCACAGGTTGGACTCAATGATCTTGGAGGCCTTTTCCAACCTCAACGATCCTGTAATTCTACTTGTGCCCTAAACCCAGTCCCTCAAGTCTGCAAACAGCTGCAATTCCCACCCAATCCACCAGCACCGCTCAGTTTTGAAGCGGTTCCTCCAGCTGAGGCTCTCAGAGGAGCAGGAACCAAGAAGGAAGGCCAGGGGACACACTTACTGTGTTGTAATGATCCACATACACCGAGTTCCCCAGGCCAAACACGGCGTATCTGAGCCCCTTCAGGTGGGTTTTCCCAACACGGAAATCGTTGGCCGCCTCTTCCAACCACCTGCAGAACCAGGCCGCGCTCTCCGTGGGCTGCCCATCCGTGTACGTGGCCACCAGGAACACACAGATGTTCCTGCTGGTTGCCTGACCACAGGGACACAACAGGAGAGACAAGATCACTGCATTATCGAAAACCCCTGACATCAGGAAAAGAGCTGGAACACACAGGCAGCTGGAAGGAACCAAAAGACCAGATGGGATGGTGCAGGTGACAATCCCAGTGGTGGTGAATGACCTGTCCCCTGGACAGGGACACGGTGAGCAGAATGGGACATCTTCCTAGAATCATACAATGTTAAGGAGTTGGAATGAACCTTAAAGATCATCCAGTCCCAACCCCCTGCCATGGGCAGGGACACTTCCCACTAGACCAGGTTGCTCAAGGCTTTATCCAACCTGGCTTTGAACACTTCCAGGGCTGGGGCATCCACAAGCTCCCCTGGGCAACCTGGGCCAGTGTTCCACCACCCTCACAGTAAAAAAATTTCTTCCTGATATCTAACCTAAATTTCCCCTCTTTCAATTTGTATCCATTACTCCTTCCCCAGTCAGCAGCTTCCTGACCAGGCTCCTTCACCACAGTCCCCCATGGATAAATATTTAAAACTATAGACTCCTTCACCACAAAGTCTCCCATGGATAAACATCTAAAACTTCCCAACCTCGCATTTCCAGGTTTGTTAGGGGCAGTATCCAGTGCTGACAACCCACACTGAAACCCTCAGGAACTTCCAACACACGGTTCCCACACGCAGGGAGATACAACCAAAAAGTTTTGTTAGGATTAATTAAAACTATCAATATTTACAGAAGAAAAACCCATCAAGGGTTACTCCAAACACCTCACAAGGAGTTTCTAACTTGTAAGCCTATAAAAGCTGCAGAGGCATCACCAGCTGCTTGTTCTGGCTTTAAACCCTTCCCCAGGTGCACACGGAGAACAGGGGACCTGGTGCAGCCACTGTCACCCCTGAGTTACAGAACTGGCTCATACAAGGTCACTGTCACCTTCAAAATGTTCTATGTGATGCTTTCCCAGTAATTTTCAAAATTCTGGTATTTTCTGCTGAGGGCTGATGGGCTACACTTGCTTTTGTAGCAGGGAAACAATTTGCAACACACAGCTTTGAGGATTTCCAGGAGAACAGGAGAGAAATAAATGAGGAAAACAGCCTTGATAATCCCAGGAAAACACTTGTATTTATTATTCCTATCTATGCCATACCCACCTCCTCTGCTAAACAATCATCTGGGTCATAGTCTCCCATGTTAATGACTTCCACAGGCAAATTAAGGGAAGTAACAGCTTCAGCCAGAGCTTTGGCAAATCTCTGGAAAAAAGAAACATAGAGGAAGTTTTCAATTCCTTCAACCCACACCAGCCCTGCTGTGCTCAGCCACAAAACCTCTCCCAGCACAGGAAGAACACCTGAGACCTGGACACTGGGCCTGTAACTCCTCACATTCAAAACATGAAGTAACTGGCTGAGACTCCCATGAATTTTAATGGCTTTACATTTCCACACACAAATGGCATTTCTTTTTGAGGAAGCACCAAAACCAGCACCTCTTTCTATGAAGACCTGCTGGCAAATTAAAATTATACTGTAAGAGTAAACTTGAAGCTTCATGATCAATATCCTGCAGGCCCCACTTAAAAGGAGGAGGGAAAATGTTATTTTTATAGAATTTTCACTTATCTTTTGTGTTGGGCAATGACTTGTAACGAGCTAATGAACCTCCTAATGAACTCTCAGATTTGTACCCAGTGCAGTGTTTTAAGACAAGCAACATACTTGAATCCCAACGATATTTCAGATCCATTTCACAAATGTGGAACAAGAGTAACTGATACCTTTGCTGTGCCAGTCTGAGAGCCATAGAAGATCTTTACCCCAGCAACATACACCTCCTCTGCCTGAGGGGTGGCACATCCATTTACCAGCTTGTCTTCTGTTCCTTTGGAGGAAGGGGGATTCCCACTGGATTTTTCACCCTATGAAACAGGAGCTGTGTCAAATTCCATCCCCTCTGCAAGTGATGTCAAACCAAAAGCATTTAAAATTCAAATCCTGTGGCCAGACTGTCAGCACTGCACAAATGCAACAGCATTTGGGTTCCTCTCACACCCAGACAAACACAGCAGGAAGTGTTTCCCTGACCCAGGCCATGCTCCAGTATCTGGGAGATAAAAGGATCCAGCTGAGCCTCCCAGACTCCTGCAGCAGAACTTCAACCACCTGCAGGAGGAGGTTTTCAATTCCTGAAAGGCCCAATCCCACTCCCATCCTAAAACCAGTCCAACCTTGTCATTGCCATCACTGGAAACACAAAGGTAAAAACACCGGGCACAAACAGAGGGATTTCTTTGGAGTGACAGACACAACGTGACAAGTGTCCAGCTGAGATCTGCTCCAAAATCAGAGCAACAGGGGCTTTTAGTGACTCTCAAACATAAAAGAATCCAAACTGAGAATTATATCCACATGAACGAAAGAGCATTTGGGATTTGCAACACTCCAGGTGGGCCCATTTCACTGCACCAGTGGGTGCCTTCACCCAGCAACTCCTCACTTCCACTCACGGGGCTTTGGGGTGTCCTCAGACAAAAGTGCTGACAGGTTCAGTTACCTTCTTTTTGGTTTTGGTGGTGGTGAACTGAATGACAATCCAAAGGCTGATCCCCAAAGCAACAGCAGAGTAGATGTAAAATCTGTGCAGCCATATGGACGCCAGGCAAGTACGGAAGTAGCTCCACGTATCCATTGAGACATCTAAATCTGGAATAAGTCACAGATTCCGACAGTATGAATATGGAATGAGCACACAGAAAACAACCACACAGTCCCCACAGTCTCATCACGGCATCAGCTACTCCCCAGGCTCTGCAGAAAACAGGTTTTGGCTAAAGACAAGGCATTAAAACTGAATCAAGAAGCCGTCACCTCCTCAGGTGCATCAGCTGAGCTCCAAGCTAACATTTTAGACTCTGAGCCTGGAAATTCTGTTTTTTTTCTTTATAGGGCACCTCTGTTATAAGGAAAAGCAGAAAATATTTGAGCTGTGCAAGTGCCTGAAAGTAAAAAATCCTTTTGAAACATCCACTGGATCATACCGGCCTTAGTTTGACACAAATGCAGATCTCTGGAACTAGAAAGCTCCAGTTCAAGGGGGAATCACCTCCACAGTTTGCTGCTGAACCCAACCCTTGCTTACACACATTAGATATTACACTGATTACAAACAGAGTTTCAAGGGCAGACTGAAACCTGCATTCAACTGGAAGCACTTTCTCAGAATTGTGTGGTGCAAGTGAAGTTTGACTTGGAACAACTGAGATGTTACAAGTTGGTTCAGTACATTCAAGGTACAGAACACCCCAGCCAGGAACGAGCTTGTGCAGTGCCTGTGAACACCTATTTCATAGGAAACATTCAGGTGCTTAAAAAAGGCTGGTTTGTGACACTTATTTAGTGAGAAACACAGCTGACACCCTCCTACTGTCACCTGCAGCCCCCTCGGACCTCATTTCTGCAAATATCAGACAAGAGCACAGAATCTAAGCATTCCCAGGAGGCTGGAAACTGTTCTACTTTCCCCGTGGGCTGTTACTCACATTACCAGCTCAAAGGCTTGAGGGGATGCCCATCACCCCCTCCAGCAGCAACACTGAGCCTCCCAAAAGAGATGAGCCAAGAGCACTTGCCAGTGGGCAGCCGCAGTGCTGCCAGCCCACCCCAGCAGCAAACCCCTCAAGGGAGGCTCCAAAAACTTGCTGCAGCCCAAGTACCCTGCTCCTCCTCACCCTCTGTATGTCCCACCTTCAATTACTCCACAGCACCCAAAACCCACTCCCTGACCCCCCACTGGAGCTGCCCCCCATCCCTCAGCCCTGTGCCTACCCAGGAACCTGCCCCTCTGCACCAGCCCATTTGATCCCTCCTCTGTGCTGACCCCCTTCTGCACAGGCCCCTCACACAGAACTCTCACCCCCCTCCATAACCACCTCATTTATTACCCTCACTCCTACACCCCCCTCATAGTTATGAACCCCCACACACATGGTTATTACACACTCACAGTTATTAACCCCCACAGACCCATCCTTCGTGGTTATTACCCCAAACACACCCCCCCAGTCACTACCCACACACACATTCCCCCCTCACCACTATTAACCCCATTTCCCCCCCCATTATTACCTCGACCCCTTCACCCCCACCCCTCATGGTTATTACCCACACCCATCCCACTCCCCTCACAGTTATTATTATTATTATTACCCCTCCCTGTTATTATCCCCCTACACACACTCCCCCCTTACACCTCTTACCCCCACACCCCCCATGGTTGTTACCCCCCCACAAACACACACACACCACCCTCGTGGTTATTCCTCCTCCCACCACTCACAATTCATATCCCTTCTCTCTCCCACACACCCCTCAGGGTTATGACCCCACTTTCCTCTGCCTCCCGCAGTTATTATACCCCCAAATTGTTAAACACGCCCTCCTCACAGTTATTACCCCACTCTACCCCCCTTTCATGGTTGTACCCCCTCCACCCCTTGTGGTTAATACCCCATCTCCCCCCCACACCCCTCACAGTTATTACCCCCCTCCACCACCACCGTGGTTATACCCCCCTACTCCTCACGGGTAATTTCTCCATCTCTCCACACACACACACACACAACCCAGTTATCACCACACACACACACAGTTATTATATCCCTTCTCCCCGTTTTTACCCCACCACACACCCTCCCCTCACGGTTACTACCCCCCAAATCCCCCTCCACGGTTGTGATCCCACACTCACACCCTCCCATCACAGTTATATCCCACCCCATCACAGTTATACCCCCACGGTTCATATCCCCATCTCACAGGCACTCCACACACACACGTGGTTATTACATTCCCCCCTCACCGTTGTTATTATTATTATTAATTATCACACACACCCTTTTCACAGTTATTATCCCACACACACACACCCATCACAGTTGTACCCTCACCCCTCATGGTTCATACCCCCATCTCACAGTTACCCCCCCCCCACGTGGTTATTACATCCCCCCTCACAGTTGTTGTTATTATTATTATTATTATTATTATTATTATCATCCCCCCCATGGTTATTATCCCATACACATCCCCTCCCCACCATTGTTATACCCCTCACGATCCATACCCCCATCTCAGAGTTACTCCACATAGATACGTGATTACTACATCCCCCCTCACGGTCGTTATTATTATTTTTATTATTATTATTATTATTATTATCATCATCATCATCATCACACGCCCCCACACCATCACTGTTATACCCTCACGGTCCATACCCCCATCGCACAGTTACTCCACACACACACACACACAGACGGTTGTTGTTATTATTGTTGTTGTTGTCATTATTACTGTTATTATTATTATTATTATTAGCACGCCTTCCCCTCACGGTTACTACCCCCCAAATCCCCCTCCGCGGCTGTGATCCCATACGTGTGTCCCCCATCACAGTTATACCCCCACGGTTCACACCCCATCTCACCGTTACTCCACACACACACACACACGTGGTTATATGCCCGCTCATTGTTGTTGTTGTTATTATTATTAGTAGTAGTAGTATTACCCCACACACTCCCCTCACGGTTATTACCCCACACACTCCCCTCACGGTTACTACCCCCCAAATCCCCCTCCCCCCCCCCCCCCCCCCCCCGTGCACAGCCCCATCTCAGAGTTACTCCACACACATACACGTGGTTATTACACGCTCCCCTCACTATTATTACACTGTCTCATCAGTACCACGCGCCCCCAGCCCCGCACTGACCCCGCCGCCCCGGCCGGCGCTGCCCTCAGCCCGCCATGCGCCGCTCCCGCCCCTTCCGCCCGCCGCCGTTCACTGCCGGGCCGCCATTCACTGCCGGGCCGGCCGGGGCGGGGCCGGCTCAGGGCCCGCGGCCGCCGCCATGTCCATCTTCACCCCCACCAACCAGATCCGCCTCACCAACGTGGCCGTGGTGCGGGCCCGGCGCGCCGGCAAGCGCTTCGAGATCGCCTGCTACCGCAACAAGGTCATGGGCTGGCGCAGCGGAGCGTGAGTGCCCCGGGGAGCCGGCGGGGCGGCGGCGCGGCCCGGGGGGGGAGCGGGGAAGGACCGGGATCGGCCCGTGTGGGGACCGGGGAGGGACCGTGTGGGGACCGGGATCGGCCCGCGTGGGGACCTGGATGGGCCCATGTGGGGACCGAGGAGGGACCGTGTGGGGACCTGGATGGGCCTGTGTGGGGACCGAGGAGGGACCGTGTGGGGAGCGGGGAAGGACCGGGATCGGCCCGCGTGGGGACCGGGAAAAGGACTGGGAGTGTCCCCGTATGAGGACCGGGATGGGCCCGTGTGGGGACCCGGCAGAGGGACCAGGGGCCCTGCCCGGGAGCCCGTGTGCGCCCTCGGCAGTGACCCCTGTGCGGCCCGGCTGTGGGGCCGTGGAGCTGCCCCGGTACCCGGGTCTGACCTCCGGGAGATGGTGCGGGGCCAGGGGAGTCCCTGGGCAATGACACCTCGGTGATGGAGGTTTTCAAGCCCTGCTGATCCAGCCCTGGGCAGCAGGAGCTGTTTCTTATTTAAACACTGATGTGCCCCTTGCTTTGCTGGAGAGGGACTTTGGACAAGGGCCTGGAGTGGCAGGACAAGAGGGAATGGCTTCCTGCTGACAGAGAACAGGGTTAAAAGGGGTATTAGAGAGAAATTCTGCCCTGTGAGGGTGGGGAGGCCCCATGCCTGGAAGTGTCCAAGGCCAGGCGGGACAGGACTTGAAGCAAACTGGGCTAGTGGAAGGTGTCCCTGCCCATGGCGGGGCGTTGATCTGGGTGATCTTTAAGGTCCCTTCCAACCCATCCCATTCTGGGATGATTCTGTGAAGGTTTCTAACCCCGTCCTTTTCTCTAGGGAGAAAGATCTCGACGAGGTCCTGCAGACACACACTGTGTTTGTCAATGTTTCCAAAGGCCAGGTGGCGAAAAAGGAAGATCTGGTTCAGGCATTTGGGACAGATGACCAAACAGAAATCTGTAAGATGGTAGGTTTTACACACTTTGCTTTATAAAATCTTGGAGAAGACTTACAGCCACACAGTAGGTTGGTTTGTACTGTTTGCAGAATGCTGCTTTAGTTGTTTGTTATGAAATGAGTAAAAAGGACTAGGAACTCTGTTTTATAGTCTTAAATTTTATATATGCATCTGGCTGAAAAGAGTTCTGAGTGTTCTAACAGACAGCTTCTCTGCACTGATGTCGAGCACTGGAGAGTTCCTCACCTAAGATAAATGGACAGTTGCTTACTTTGGACAGTTCACTTAAGTGTTAATAACAGATCCAATCTCTTGATCCTTCTTGGTTGGATAGGAACTGTGGGCTTGTTGTGGGTGATAAGAATTCAAGTAAATCTCATGAGTCAGCAGTGCCCTGGCAGCCAGGAGGGCCAACCCTGTCCTGGGGGCACCAGGGAGGGGATTGTCCTGCTCTGCTCTGCCCTGGGGCGGCCTCACCTCAACATTGGGGCAGTTTGGGGGGACACAATAGAGGGAAGGGATTGAGCCATTGGAGAGTGTCCAAAGGAGGCCACGAGGATGGGGAAGGGCCTTGATTTGAAGGTGTGTGAGGACACTGAGGGCGCTTGGTGTGTTCAGCTGGAGGAGACTGAGGGCAGAGCTGCAGCTTCTCCTGCGGGGCAGCTCCGATCCCTGCTCTCTGTGACCAGGGACAGCAGCCAGGGAATGGCTGGAGCTGCGTCAGGGCAGGCTCAGGTTGGATCTCAGCCAAAGGTTCTTCCCCCAGAGGCTGGTTGGGCACTGCCCAGGCTCCCCAGGGCAGTGGGCACAGCCCCAAGGCTGCCAGAGCTCAGGGAGGGTTTGGCTGATCCTCTGGGGCACAGGGTGAGATTGTTGGGGTGTCTGTGCAGGGCCAGGAGCTGGACTGGGTGATCCTTGGGGGCCCCTTCCAACGCAGGATATTCTATGATTCTGTGAAGTCTGTGCCTCCCTCGCTGTAGTTTCCATGGTGAGTTTTTTTGTCTGAAGTCTTTCCAGAGCTGTCGTAACGATTCACTTTATCAACGTGATTTTTGTTTTCCGCACTTCACATCTACCCAAACCATTCCAACAGTGGTTACATTTAACAAAGTTACTGGAATTTCCACTCTTCACGTCCATGATGTTTCTTAACTGATTTCTTTATTGTTGCAACGCAGATTTTATCCAAAGGGGAGCTGCAGGTATCAGACAAAGAGCGCCACACTCAGCTGGAGCAAATGTTCCGAGACATCGCCACCATCGTGGCTGACAAATGTGTGAACCCCGAAACAAAGAGGCCCTACACAGTGATCCTCATAGAGAGAGCCATGAAGGACATCCACTACTCTGTCAAACCCAACAAGAGCACCAAGCAGCAGGTGAGTCTTCCTGCAACACCAGCTCCTGCTCCGAGGTGCTGCGCTCCGGTGTAATTCCTCAGCTCCCTGTCACACAGGGAGCAGCAAAACCCCGGCACCTGAGCCCTCAGAGGGATTACTCAGCCATCTGGCAGCTGAATACAGGCAGCTCCTGAAACTCAGGCAGTTTGTTTTCTAAGAATTCAAGGAAGGGAGAAAGAAAGAAACTTAAATAAAACAGCAGCAGTGGTACACCTGGAACAGAAATAAAAGGTTTGTGATTTATCCCAACTGAGGTGTTAGATCAGCCTTTGCATCTGAACCACCTGGGTTTGTGGTGTTTTGCAGTGTAACTACTTTTTAATTTTATTTCAGACAAGGTTTTTAAGTGTCTGTAGTGATCACAAACAGCAAGAACTCTACTTTTTCTTGTTAATCTGGCAAAAAGAGTGTGACAGCAACCTCCCTGCAGCAGAGTGGCAGTGACCAGCACCGAGAGATGGGTCTGAAGCTGGTGCAAAGGGTTGGAGATTTTGATGAGCGTGGTGGTTTTGAAGCAGGTGTGTAAATGCTCTTTGTGTCCTTCCAGGCCCTGGAAGTGATCAGGCAGCTGAAGGAGACCATGCAAATTGAACGTGCTCACATGAGGCTGAGGTTTATCCTCCCACCAAAGGAGGGCAAGAAGCTGAAAGAGAAGCTCAAGCCACTGATTAAAGTTATTGAGAGCGAGGACTTCCAGGAGCAGCTGGAAATTGTAAGCAAAAAGCAGTCCCTGGGCTTCATACTTGACTTGACTACATATTTTACTAGAAGGTGAACTCATAGATGGAAGGTGGAACTGAATCAGAGCTGCTGTTTGGGGTTTTTAATTCCAAACAATCCTAAGGATGTGAGCATGGGAGCAGCCTTTGTTATCCAGAGATTGCTGCTCCAAGCTGAGCAGAAGCCCAGTGCAGTTTCTCTTAGCATTGATTATCCTGCCACACTGATAAGTTTTTCTGCATATGTGGAATGTTACTGTTATTTATGTGGTGGCTCAAGCCTGTGTTTTATTATTGTATTATATTTTATTATTTATTAGTGGTTAATGATTTCTTTTTAAAAGTGTGTGGTAAAGCAAAATTTGGTATTTGTAAAAATCTTCTTTGAAAACAGATTAGAATCCAGCAATCCCAACTGGAAAAAGCCATGTCCAGCATGGGGAACTGGAACTGCAGAAATTCAGGGGAAAGATTAGATTGGATTACCTGGAAGATACTGTTTATCAGCTCTGCCAAGACCTTCTTAGTAACTAAATGGGGTTTTTTAATGAAAATTAATGTTAGGCCTTGATTAGGGCCTGGTGAGATTCCAATATTCTTGCTTGACTGTGACATGTGGAACATTCCAGGTGTGCCTTGTTGACCCAGGCTGCTTCCGAGAGATCGACGAGCTGATCCGGAGTGAGACCAAAGGGAAGGGATCCCTGGAAGTGCTCAGCCTGAAGGATGTGGAGGAGGGAGATGAAAAGCTCGAATAACAAAACCTTCCTGCAGCAGTTCTGCTTCGACAGCCTCCCCTGAAATGACTGGTGTAGCCACTCTCTTCTGTTAGGCCTTCGTGGGTTTTTCCAATCTCTTGCTGCCAAATGTTTCCTGACACTAATCCTTTGGGATTTTTCCACGCAGTGTGGGGGTGTTTTTTTATCATTTTACACTTGTTTGGGTTACAGATGTCTTTGCCTGTAGGAAGGTTCTGTGTCAGAGTTGCACTAATAAGGACTGAGTTAGGATGTGGTAGGAGGTCACTCTGGCTTTGCTTTAGTTTCAGGGTTGCTGTTGAAGTCGTTTGACTGATTTGGTGCCAGTTGTTTGTACTTTTGAAGTTGTCAGTGTTGAGTGGAAGATTGCACTGGTCACTGAGGAGGGGGTTTGTGTGTGAGGAGAGGAACCTTTAAAAAAAAAGAGAGTCACCTTTAAAAAAAAAGAGTCACATTTTCACTTCTAACAGGTGCAAAGTGTGGATCATGTCCAAAAATGAATCTTTTGGCAGCGTGAAAACTGACTTAAGGCTTCCATAATTGGCTGCTTGGTAATTAAAGTACTTCAAAGGACCATTAGTAAAGATTTCCTTCACTGGATATAACAGCACTTGCTGACTTAGAGATGATGTTCTCCAAATAACTTATTCATAAGATATATTTAGCTACATTAATAAAAGCAAATGATCATCTATTTATATATTATAGATAAAGAAAGAAAATACTTATTTTTGTTAATAGTATAGGAGATATCCCTGGCTGTGGTGATGCTTTTTGTGGGCTGAGCCTGTGCTTGGGAGCTGCTCTGTTCACATGATAAAATGAATCTCAAACAGGCAGTGGTGGCCTCTGGCCATGGAGCCAGACGGGCTTTTGTTGGGCTGTAATTCCCAGCAGGAATTGTTTGTGTGTGCCCCTTTTGCTTTTTTAGCGCAGCACAG